AAAGCAGCAAATTCTTTTGCAGTTCGCCGTTTCGCTAGCCAGACAATATGTAAAGTCCGACAAATACCATTTTAAAGTTACGTGATATTGGTGGCAAAAAACGTATGTTCATTGATTATGTCGTTGATATCACCTACAAAAAGCTACTAGTGGTTAATTACTATTTAATTTTAAGATATGTTCCCACTAGCAATTTAGTATTAACCAATAAGTATTGACCAATCAGATGGAAATTTTAATACTGGCAATTGTTGCGAGACTCACTTTTGTCGCTTCTGCTGCCCCTTGTAATACATTCTGAACTTGAATTGGGTACCCGTTTTCTATTTGCTTCTTTTCGAAATGGAAAAAGGTTAAAATAGTCAAAATTATTAGCTGTGTTCGTTATATCATTTTCGAAAATAACTTTGACAAACTAATTGATGACAGTGACGGATTCTATTTCAGGTAAGAATTTTATGAACAATAATTAGACACCAATTTTTTTGTCAATTTTACTATCTCCGCTGTTTGAGATGTATTCAACAAGGATAGAGAAAAATGACGTGACTTTGAAATGGTATTTGTTGGACTTTATATCCGCTTTCTCAGCTTTCGCACCTGGTTTCGGTAATTTGGCCGTCCACCCAACTTAGCGGGTATACATACGTTCATAATACATATAAGTGCTACACAATCCCACATATTCTGTCCTTTAGAAAATAAGTTATGTCTGGCGGCTCTGGGCTCTTGGAATATTACTTTTAGTTGAAATATCTTAAGGTGCACACCATGTTAGTTTAGCCTCTAAGTTTATCTTTAAGTTTATGATTGTTAAAACATTATGCATAAAAATTTTTGTAAAAATATTGCGATAAAATGAGTTCCAATAGAATACATTTCTTTAATGCAATTAGGTTTTGCAAAATAAGTAAAACAACATGGGGCAATACGGCAACGCAAGGTACGGTTTGTTAGGAGAGTACGCGTCGCACAACTGACAACGTAAACGTCGTGATTGGTTCAGGTATGACGTACACCCGTCTTTTGACGTGAGAAAACGGGTGTACGTCATACCTATGGTCATACCTGAGCAATGACGACGTTTACGTTGTCAGTTGTGCGACGCGTACTCTCCTAACAAACCGTACCTTAAGAAGTTCATCCAGGACTAGATTCCAAATTACTCCACCCTATGGGCATCCTTTTGTCGCGGTTACTTTAATAGAGATTTCAGCAATAGTCGAGTTTATAGTCCTGAACGGACTTGATCCATCTGCCTGTGGTACCTATCATTAATCGCATGTTGCCTAGCAGCTCTGACTATACAATCACTTATTTACAAAATAGTTATTTTCCTAACAAGTGCGCAAAGTGTTACTTTTCCGCACGCAAACACAGTTATACGAACGACGCGAAGCGGAGTTCGGATACGTGTTTGCGTGCGGAAAAGACACTTTGCGCACGTGTTAGGAACAAAATTTTTCCTACGAGCTTCATATCAGGTAGGTAACAACAAAAATTTAAAAAAAAAACGATAATTTGTTTAATTATTTTTAATTAACTTGAAGGGAACCTATGCATTTATCAAAAAATTACATAACAAAAAAAAAATATAACAGAAAATCATCGTCAGAGCTCTTCATCTTAAAGCGTTTAATGGCGATTTCCATTTGTCATCAGTGCCGCACTGAGTGCATCCGCATCTTTTTCTAAAAGCATGTAACATGTAAGGATAAGGATACATTTTTTTGCCCTGTTTCGACAAATGGAAAATGCTATAAATTTGATGAGAAAGTTTGTAGATGCATATATATAGAAAACAAATCTGACAATGTGTTGAAGTTAATTAAATTTGGTGTTTGTAGGTATAGATGTTAGCTGGAACAGGAACAGAGGAAAAATTTGTCATCATGTGTCAAAGTCGACAGGTGTACTTATTGTTGCTTGACAATTATTTTTACTTTTCGGCACTCAGTGCGGATAAGGCCTGTATCCGCACTGAGTGCGGAAAAGTGCAACTTTGAGAACCGAAATGCGTGCGGAAAAGTACTACTTTGCGCACGCTCGTAGGAAATAGTTATTTTCCTAACAAGTGCGCAAAGTGATACTTTCCCGCACGAAAAAGCAGTTAGACGAACGACGCGAAGCGGAGTTCGGATAAGCTTTGAGTGCGGGAAAGACACTTTGCGCAAGTGTTAGGAACAATATTTTTTCTACGAGTATCTTAAAGAAGTAGACTGTGAATTGTTAAAATATTAGAAAAATCTATCAAATCAAAATCTTCAAAAATCGTCTTAAATCTATTGGAATTCCTCAGAATGTCTTTTAAATTAAATCCCCAAAAATCTTCAAACATCTGTAATTTCTAGAATACCAGCTAGAATATTTTCATGAGAGTCTCTCAAATATCAAAAATTCTACAAATTCCCAGCAGTACAGGCTGGTCTAATTTGGACACCTTTGATAGGGAACATCATGTTAACTAAGCGCGCTAATTTCAACTAAAACCCTTAATTTTGAATATTAGTTTATTCAGAAACCATCAAAACATTGAAAAATCAAGTATAACTATGGTAATTATGCATAACAAAAATGAGTGCGCAAAGAGTTTCCGTGCGCAAAGTTCAACTTTGCGCACGCAAATGAGTGTGCAAAGTGATTACTTTGCGCACGCAAGTAGAAAAATAACTTTTCCTACGAGCGTGCGCAAAGTAGTACTTTTCCGCACGCATTTCGGTTCTCAAAGTTGCACTTTTCCGCTGGTATTCTAGAAATTACAGATGTTTGAAGATTTTTGGGGATTTAATTTAAAAGACATTCTGAGGAATTCCAATAGATTTAAGACGATTTTTGAAGATTTTGATTTGATAGATTTTTCTAATATTTTAACAATTCACAGTCTACTTCTTTAAGATACTCGTAGAAAAAATATTGTTCCTAATACTTGCGCAAAGTGTCTTTCCCGCACTCAAAGCTTATCCGAACTCCGCTTCGCGTCGTTCGTCTAACTGCTTTTTCGTGCGGGAAAGTATCACTTTGCGCACTTGTTAGGAAAATAACTATTTCCTACGAGCGTGCGCAAAGTAGTACTTTTCGGCTCGTGCGTCAAAATTCACATTCGTGAAAAAAGGTTCACTTTACGTACTTGTTGCATGAATAACTATTTTCTACTATCGTGCGTGAAGTACTCACTTTACGCACTCTTCAGAAGATGTAAAATTCCACTTCACGCACTAGTGCGTAAAGTAATTCACTTCACACACTAGTGCGTAAAGTAATGTCAATGACAGATGTTGAAAACTGTCAATTTAGTATTTTTCTGGTAAATTACTTCACGCACTAGTGCGTAAAGTGGAAATACTTCACGCATCAGTGCGTGAAGTATTTGTATAATTCTATTTTTTAAACATATTTGATTGGTAGTAGAAAAAATTTTCTATGCAATACGTGCGTAAAGCTCCTTTTTTCACTCATGTGATTGTCGCACTCGCCTTCGGCTCGTGCGGCAAAATTCACATTCGTGAAAAAAGGTCCACTTTACACACTTGTTGCATAAATAACTATTTTGAGGGCTTAAAATGAACATTTTTGGGCGTGACAACCGAAAAGCGCCTGCCTGCGGCGAGCCTTCATCATTATGAAAACCTCCCCCAAATAAAAAACCTGGGTGCGCCACTGTTCTTAGCAACTATTGAAACATAATTAAAATACCAGAATATTGCGTTTTGCGACCTGTCAACCGGTCAAAAATGTTGACATTTCTTGTCAATCGCAGAAAAAGTTTTTTTCCGTAGCCTAATTATAGACGCCTGTAGTATCAAAAATATTTAGAAATTATTTGAGTCGTACACTTTTGCATAAGTAGAAATTCATTTGACAAATAAATAAAAAACAAAATATGTATAAATTTTTGACAAAATAAACGTCTTTATCTATCCTTGCTGTTAAAGTATCATTGAATGTACCCTTGCGGTTAAAGTACTACTTTATCTACTATTTATAGTAGATTAAAGGCTACTTTACCAGCAGCTATGGAAAAAAAATCATTTATTGTGAAATGATGCGCGCGCCACTGCTTTTTTGATTTTTGAGGAGCCATTTATATACTATAGTATTTTTACGCTATGTCCTATTCACAATCCGATGTCCACAGGTACAGGTAAATTTATCACCTTTTCCTATCAAATAGCATTGAAAGGTGATAAATTTTACCTGTACCTGTGGATATCGGATTGTTAGTAGATAATATATTTAGGATGAAGTCACCTTTAGTAAATTTCTGCTGCCAACCTAACAAAACTAAAAGTACTTATTAACGTATTTAAAGTAGGGGAATTTCAGGTGTTCTTGGTTGGCAACGGTGCGTGACGTTGCATGACTTGTATAAACATTTTCATTTCGTTATTTTTACCTATCGTCAGAAGTATTGACACATGAAATTCTGGTAAATTATAAGAAAAAAAAATAGGCATTGACCACATTGTCTAACCTTGTTCGTTGACGTCATCCCAAATATAACATAAAAAACCTATACTTTTTGTGATTTCTCTCATCCCTGTTTAACTCGCAACAAATTGGTTTAGTTATTCTGTCTGAAGAAGACACCCATTTGCTGAAACATGCTACGGCATAGGTACGCCGCGTGTGGCTAAATTCAGCTGGACATCGTGGTGGAATGATGGAAAAAGCTGTATTGTTAAATTAAACAGGGTTTGGAAGCTGTGGTTTGGCATTGGCTTTTGTGAATCGTAATCAACACTGAGCGCATCCGTGGCGGTGCAACTTTTTATTGAATTTAACCAAACGCAGCTTATAGATAGAATTGTGGAAATCTAGAAACGTTTTTGTTTCCTGTTCCTTTTCAAGGAGTTTCAGTTAAGTTAAATGATATGTATCTTGCCATCTGTCATCAATGCGTCACTTTAAATTCTAGGAACTTTAAACCTTCCCAAAAGCTGACCATCCAAGCTACATTTTTAATCTCAAATAAACCATAGAATAATTATTATCATACTTACAGCTTATTATCGAAGGAATTTATGAAACCACTTATATTCACTGATGCCATTATTTTCAACAATTTTGTATGATATGCTTATTTTTATTTATTTTTTTTGAATGTCACTTTCGTTGTCACTGGTTACGGAGATTACGGAGAATGACAGAATAACATTGGCTATGTTCAACAAAACTATAAAAGTCAATGGCTGCGTTCACCAGAAGCAACTAAACAGTTTACAAACCAGCGCGGAATTACAGAAGCTCTGCTCTGCAACACCAAGATACAAATGCAGGACCTGCAAGTCTGCCTATTCGTATTACAGAAGCAGAATGTATTTGCAAGTCGCCTGCAAATTTGCGCATGGCCTTGCAATCACTTTGACATTTAAAACTGGTAAATCAGTAAATATGACGGAATTGCAGCTTTTTTCTGTAATTTAGGTACTCGTTCCTGCAAATAGAGCACACATGCAAGTCGGCCATATTTGCAAAACTGCAAATTCACAGATGCAAATATACTGTATGTAATTGGGCCCTGAAGTGAAAAGTTTTGCATCGTTCTGCTGGTTCAAAAGGGCGCAATTCAAAGCCGCGGTATTCAAAACAGCAAAGCAGCGGTCTCATTTTAGCGACATTCAAAATAGCGACATATCAAAACAGCGACATATCAAAACAGCGACATTCAAAAAGAGGAACAATTCAAAAGAGCGACATATCGAAACAGCGACATTAAAAAAGAGCGGCAAATGAAAACAGCGACTAATGAAAAGAGCGACATAATAAAAGCGCAACATTTGAAACGGCGACATTTAAGCAAAACAGCGACATATCGAAAGAACGACACATCAAAAGAGCGACATCTAAACAAAAGATTCACATATCAATTTGAATCAATAATAATCAAGAAAATGCAGACTTACTCAAACTAACCCGTCCTATTGCAATCTAGGGTGTCCGTTTTAAGTGATAGGTACCAAAATTCCTATTGCTATCTCCGAAACGGTAAGAGGTTCGAGGTCGACTGAATTAGAAAAAAGTTGCCTTTTTTGATGCCCATTCAAGACTCCTTTACAGTTTTGCCGAATTCCTTTTAGTTTATGAAATACAGGATGATTTCTAAGAAACGCCTAAAAATATTTCCTCAATTATTTCGAAAACTATTGATTTTCCGAACACAATTTAAATTTGAAAGTTTTATTATTTTTATGTCATACCAGTACATTATTGTGTTTTTATACCTTAGATACCATCTACATAATTCATTACTTTATGCCCGTGCGGGCATAAAGTGCACATTATGGCCCGCGCGGGCATAAAGTAAACATTCTGGCCCGCGCGGCAATAAGACGCAAAAAACAGTTTTCGATTAACTTATTCTTTATTAACAAAAATATATATTTATTATTCAAAACCAACTGGTATGACATAAAAGTTTGTATGCACCACGGGTACTAATAGATATATACCCTCGGGCGACTTACGAACCCTCGGGCCAGAGGCCCTCGGCTTTGTAAGACTGTCGCCCTCAGGGCATAATCCTCTATTTAGTACCCTTGATACATAAATAACTATTATCGCTCTACAACATGGCATCTTCAAATTTCGAATCCGACGTTTCGTGATCGAGCTACCATCATCAACTCTATTTTTTTAAACACGGACCTGGATTTTTTATGTCATTTTTAGAAAGCGCCCTTTATTCCCTTTTCAACGATATGCCTCTTAACACGTTCGCTGCCAAGTATGAGTTAACTCGTAGTAGACAATCTTATTACAGGTGCCAGCTACGACATGACTCGTATTTTGCATCGTGTCGTTCAAAGTCAAGTACGAGTATATTCGTTGTAAATACAGGTTAATGGGGGTGCCTGGCCTACGGGACATGTATAAGAATATCACACAGACATAGTTGAACAAAAAAAAAACATTAAACATGGTAGTCCTTGGTATGGTATAGTATGGTATGGTATTTTTTTGCAAAAATATGGGTCAGGTACTACTTTGGATGAATATTTTATGTTATTTAGACCTATTTCGATGATAAAATATAGTTTTTCAACATTGGCATTTTGGACCCGATCAACCGAAATCTCTCTGGCAGCGAACGTGTTAAGTATGATTAGCCGACGTTTCTGGACTAAAAAGTGATCATCAGAGATTTTTAAAGAATGAAGGCTTTCACGGTCGGTCAACTCTAGTAGAAAAGTTTTTTCCGGGCTATAATGCCGTGGTCCGCTAGTATTCCTACCTATCATTTCGTCTACTGCTGCGGTAGACATCTTCAGGCCTCCTTCAAAAACCCGCCGCAGGCGATTTTTTTTTTAAATTTCAAGGTCATTCACTTTTCCAGAACAATTATCATTTGTGAGAAAAATAAAACAAAACAAAAATGTATTTTCTTCAATATATTATGAATTTTCTTTTTGGCATCGTGATTTTTCTCTCGATAATTCGATCCTGGGGGGGGGGGGGGGGTAATTACCCCCAGTACCCCCCCCCCCCCCCCCCGACGCGACGCCCCTGTGTGGTAGAGGACGAAGTGTTTTCTTCCGTGTTCCTCTGATGACTGGATTCGACGTTGTTGGACCTGCATTATTTATATCCAGCGTTGTGGGCGTGGCTTGTATTACGCTATTCTCCTTGTCTCGTTCTCGGGGAGGGTCCTTGTTTTTCGGAGAACTGGCAAACAGCTTTTGTTGAGGTTCATGTTCATGCCCACTTCTTTTCTGTTGAAGTTTTTGTGGTGTTTCTGTATCTCTATGGCTTTTCTGATATAGGGACCCTGCCACCTATGTTGGTTCCTTGTTATTTGTGCGCTGTTGCTTCGGTCTTATGGCTCTATTTATCTCCTGCTTGGATTCTTACTTCAAATGCTGATTTTAGGTGTTGCATCTCGACCTGAAGGTATCTGAGTTCACAAATCTGAATTGCCTTGTCAGAGTTTTAATGACTCCTCTCTTTTGCCTAGGATGGTGATTGGATTCCTTGTTGAGGTATCTGTCCGTATGCGTCGGCTTCCTATATATACTCTGTATCCCAGTTTACCTGAGAGTAATCTTTCTAAGAGGACGCCGAGGAACGAAATTTTGTTGTCCTCAACGTCCATCGTAAACTGTATCCTGGGTTCTATTGAGTTTAGATGATTAAAGAAGTTTTCGAACTCTGCCTCTCCATGGTTCCAAACAACAAATGTGTCATCTACATAGCGAAACCAAGAAGTAGGCTTTTTTTGTGGCCGTTTGCAGTGTCAGTTGTTCGAAGTGTTCCACGTATAGAAGTTAGCGATAACCAGCCTGAGTGGACTTCTCATTGCGACTCCATCTGTCTGCTCAAAGAATTCATTTTGCCATCGAAAATACGTAGTCGTCAGATAGTGGTGAAATAAGACGTTTATTTCCCCCGGAAAAACATCTTCCAGATACTCTTATGCCTGATTCACTGGTACCTTAGTAAACAATAAGACGACATCAAAACCAACCAGAATGTCGTTTGGTAGTAGAGTGATGAGTGATGTCACTGATCTTTTTGATGAAATGAGTTGAGTCTTCAACATAAGAGCTGGATTTGCCAATCCGTGGCTAAAAGAGGATGATGAGGTATTTGGCTATGCTGTATGTGGACGAATCTATTGCACTTACAATGGGCCTGAGTGGGTTGCCTGTTTTGTGAATCTGAGGAAGGTGGTGAGGCCACAGATTTTATGAGTTTTGTTATGTTTTCCGGGTCCAACGGTAGTGCTCGGACGAGTTGATTGGTTTTTCGCAATATAGGAGCAGTGGGATTGCGTTTCAGCTTTCTGTAGGTGGAGGGGTCTATACCATTTCAACCTCAATTTCGGAAAAAGTAACTTTTATTTAGGAAAATGTAAAGTCATTTTCGGAAAAAGTCAAATCAATTTCAGAAAAAGTAAAGTTAATTTCGGAAAAAGTAAATTCAAATTCGGACAAAGTAAATTCAAATTCGGAAAAAGTAAATTCAAATTCGGAAAAAGTAAATTCAAATTCGGAAAAAGTAAATTCAAATTCGGAAAAACTACATTCAATTACAGAGAAAGTAACGTTATTTTTCAGAATAATTCGAATTGATAAAAAGTAAATTTAACAGTGACTATAAACCTCCAGTCGAACCCGTACCCAGACGGGCTCGATTCCAATCAGTGTACTTTAATTAGGTTCAACATATATTGGTTCTGTATTATTTTGTAGGTCTGATGATGATCATATGAGCGAAACACATGTCACTATTAAGAGAATAAAATAATAAACAATCTGTAGACTTGGTAATTTTTCTCTTTCTTTTATTATTTAAAAATCGAGTCTCTTTGAGAAATATGGACAAATTTTTTTGCTTTTCTAAGTAGATAAATGACTGAATCAATTCAAATTAGTCTATAAAAAATAACAGTACTTTCTCCGTAATTGAATGAATTTTTTCCGAATTTGAATTCACTTTTTCCGAATTTGAACTTACTTTTTCCGAATTTGAATTTACTTTTTCCGAAATTAACTTTACTTTTTCTGAAATTGATTTGACTTTTCCTAAATAAAAATTACTTTTTCCGAAATTGAGGTTGAAATGGTGTAGTAGTTCGGAAATTTTTGATTTATAGTCAGACACGTTCATGATTACCGTTGCGTTTTCTTTATCCGCAGGAACATACTAGTCCTGCCTGCGGATAAAGGAAACGCAACGGTAATCATACTGACGATGACTTATCAAATCTGAGGCCTTACTACCTAGAATATATGGCCTTCCTAAGATTCACAAAACAGGCAACCGAATCAGTAATTTTAAGTGCAATAGATTCATCCACATACGGCATAGTCAAATACCTCACCACCCTCCTTCAGCCACAGATTGGCAAATCCAGCTCTTATGTTAAAGGCTCAACTCATTCCATCAAAAAAATCAGTGACATTACTACCAAACGACATTCTGGTTAGTTTTGATGTCGTCTCATTGTTTACTTAGGTACCAGTGAATCAGGCCTTAGAGTATCTGAAAGATTTTTTTCCGTTGGAAATCAACAACTTATTTCACCACTGTCTGATGACTACGTACTTTCATTGACAAAATTAATTCTTTGAGCAGACAGATGGAGTCGCAATGGGGAGTCCACTGAACCCGGCTATCGC